TGGTAATCACATGCAACGCACGTGTCAAAAAACTAGTATATATATAATTTTTGTTTTGTCTTATCCATTTTTATAGTTATCGATATTTCATGTCATAGTTTTTTTTTTCATGACATGTTTGATATGTAATTTACAAAAAAAAAATTGAAAAAATATAACTTTAATTTCGTCGTTAGTAAAACTATATCGCATAAGTTGAAAATAGATGAAGTAGTTTGTTGTTCTTTGACTATGAATATTACCCTAGTTGGTTAAGAGTTTTGGTTGTTAATATCAGAGGCGGATCTATTAAGGGGTTTGGGGGTGTCACGCCACCCCCAAACTTCGACGGAAACTCTATATATACATAGGTATATATATATAATATTTATATTTATATAAAGCGTGCCACCCACAGAACAAAATTGGCTTGTGGTGCCACGGTAGGAGGGCAACTTTAGAAGGTTGATGTTGCGGGTTCGAATTCCATTTGTACCTATTTTTTTGAGAAAGACGTTTTTTTAAGAAAAAGGAAATTGCTGCACACATTCTTTTAAGAAAAATTAGAGAACTAAAATTAATTTATATCAAAAAAACGAATAATTTAATCAAATATAAAATTAATTTAATCGATAAGTCTATTTGGCACCCACGGAGTCTAAATCTTAGATCCGCCACTGGTTAATATCTATAACAATTCTAATCACTAGCATTATTAACTAATAAGAAAGTTGAGTATTTAAAAAAATGAGTTTTGAATTAGGTATCAAGACATGGTTTAGATGTAGAACTCAAATATTTCCTTGGTTAAGTTCTAGATTTAAATCATTATTATAAATCTATTATTAAGCACCTAAATTTTAAACGATTATTCAACTTACTGCAGGTACATATGTTGGGCCAAAATAATAATTGTTTTGTTTTTAGTACCTTGTTTTGTTATATATATATATATATCCTGTTTTCAAAATGGTATAAAATAATTAAATTCTCTCAAAAATAATTATCACATCCAATAATTAAATTCAAAAACTGATTTTCAAATGTATTAATTAAGATAGAGATCATCCTAATATTTAATTTGACATTATACTATGTCTTCAAGTTTTGAATTTGCCTCTACTTATTTAGTATGGAATTGTTTTTTTTCCCTTGGGAGAACATAATGGGGGTTTATTATTATATTTATATATAACACGTAAATAATTCATCCACTATAAATGTATAGGATTTAGCTCTAAATTCAACGTTAGTACTTCTTATCTATTCTTCGTTATATATTATTAAAAAAATAGTATGAATAGAGAAATTTTGACTAATTCTCAGTAGGCAGCTTCTACTGAAATCCTTGTTGACTAAATTATTCAATTTAATTATATTATCCAAGATGTAATTAATAATTTTGAAAGGACAGTCAATCAAATTTCTCTACGATGAATTATGGCTAGCTCTTTACGATGAATACTTTTATGAGTGCATTTTTAAATACAAATTCTTTCTCACAAAAATTACATGTATCAAGTGATAGAGATGGAAGAAATTAATTAACCTTAATTTTAAAAGATGTAAGTAGTATTTTATCACAAATAAAAGGAAAGTCAAATATGTAGATGTAAATTTTCCCTTTAAGAATTTTTTCTTTTCAAATAGATAACTAAAATTCCTACCACCAAACAAACATAGTATTCCATGATAATATTAGAAACAAAATCCATCTACTAATCTTTTATAATCCTTCTCTATAATGATATTTTTATTATAATAACTAAATATTTTTGAAATTAATTTTCCATGTTATGTTATATGATATATCAATCATTGAAAATTGTAGGTCACTATCAAAAAAGTCGCGGAATTCAGTCCATCATAACTTTCGTCAAGCAAACAAAGTAGCAGATCTTTTGGCTAGATAAAATTCCAAGCAAATAACTACCAACCAAGCCACCATAATATAACCCCCTTTTATCCAAATAAAAATATTAATATGTATGATTTATTCTTTATAATGATATTTCACAATAGCTATAACAAATATCAAAATAAATGACATTATTAAATAGAGATTGTCCTTCAGGATGACTCAGTTGGTTTGGAGAGTGGTCATTCACATGGATGACTCGGGATCGATCCCTCCTCAATACCTTCTGAATCGAGCATATCGCAGAAAGCTCGCCTAGTGCTATTGACATCTCATATGTGATTTTACACAATGGGAGATTTATCCGGTGCTCACTAAGTTTGGTTCAATGATTGGAGTGTCTAAACACTGTTCCAACTTCCAACAATTTGAGACATTGCATGTGGTAGTTTTTGGTACTAAACAAGGTATAGTATGAATTGGCAATTGAATTAATTAATTGTCCAAAAACAAACACAGCATGCTACAATTTCTGAAAAAACATTTATTGGAGAATTAGTTGAAAAGACGTCAGAAATAATTGAAATCATCGATATTTTCCACAAGACATTAGATTTGTCAAAATCTAACTCATTGATGTGATTTTTCAACTTTTAAAAAAAAGCAGTTGGTAAATGGTATGTTTCCACAACTTATAATTCGACTGCTTCTGGTATGGGTGAGATGATTGAGGTGACAATTAGTTAATGAATTAATAGTAATTTGTTTAATGTGTTCAAAGTTTGGATTGATTATTAACTTGTTTATTTATTAGAATAATTTATATCAGTCAAACTCATTTCAGCTTGACAAAATTTGGGCCGATATTTAACTCAAATTAATTAATGAAAAATCTTATTAAAGTATTGTAATAAATATTTTTTTATTTAACATGTCTATTTTGATCCATTCAAATTCAATTCAACATATTATTTGTTCGTGAATATTGGAAGTTTTACAAGTACATCTGTTAGTAAACTTTGCTAGTGGTGTTTTGATGATCTTTTTTGTTAAAAAATATTAATATATCCTCCCCCAAAATTAAATATTTTAAGCATTTAATATAATTTTCTTGACAGAATGATCATTGGAAAGTAATAAATGCTGAGTTTTTTTTTTTTTTTTTTTTAATTTTCGACCTAATTTTTTTTTTTAGAAATTCTCAATGACTATGCCTGTTGGAATACCCTAGAAAAAAAATATGAAAAATGCACTCCAATACAATGCATATTTCATGGTTACCACACAATATGTCGATTGCAACAAACAAACAACAACCTTAACACGCAAATAGTCGATCAAGCACTCAACAAACAATCCAAACCTCTGAAAATTGGTGCATTAATTAATGATAAGTGTCGCGTCAACTATGAGTTAGGTATAATACATAAATATGTTTTTTAATTTAATTTTAATTCACATTTATATCCTTCAATTTTAGGTGTGCACAAGTGAATTCTTAAACTTGTATAAAGTTGAACAAATAGACACATGCGTCCTACATGCATCCTACATGATAATTTGTGTCTTATGTGTATTATGCTACATAGGACTCATGTGTCTACTTATTAAATTTTATACAAGTTTAAGTGGTTACTTGTGTACACCCAAAATTGGAGGACATAAATATGAAATAGGTAATGTTAAAAGTGCACATTTATGATTAAGCCATTAGTTCATAATCACTAGCTGCACTAAGCAATTAGTTCTTATATGTTTCCCTACTGATTGTGAACTTAATTATTTACTTCGTGTCAATTTTCTGAAACAAATATTTAAAACTGTTCAGGGTGTTTTCAACAAATTTTAATGTATGAAAATACGAAGAAATGGAAATATTTTATTAATAAACTGTATGAGTATAATTTTGTTCGAACCTGATCTTCTCTTTGTTTTCTTCGCGATTTGAAAGTTGTAATTAGTAATGTATTTCTCGAACGTAGAATGATTTGAATCTCGTGGTTTATTTGATCTCTATGTAAAGGGGATTGTGGATCTTCTTGAAGTAAGAATAGTCCAGTCATAATCTCTTTTATGAATATCCCAAGAATTTACTAGATATTCGAGATGCTTCTTCAAAAGAATATATAATATAGACATAAACTAGAATTTATCATAAAGTAACCTCCAAGAACCCTTACTAAAATTGGACTCATCTTGTAGAGTCCTACAAAATTCAATCCCAAAAAAAAAATTAGAAAGAGCGAATTCTTATCGAGCTGGGACAATCAAGAATGTTATGTTAAAAGGATCAAGGGGGATTCTATCATAAAGAAAAAGAGGAGGAAGAGCTAGTTTTAGAGACGGAAACACAACAAAATAATAGCTACATGCAAAAGTAGTGGTAAGAAGGTCCATCTCAAAAGTGAAAGAAATAACAATAGGTATCATCTCAGCAAGGCAACAACCTTGATTTTGTAAATTGAAGCTACGAGCCCACTATTCATTCACATAGTTCTCAAAGGAGATAAGGAAGGGTGGGCAGTAGGTACCACGAACCCTCTATCCACACATCTATCCAGAAATAAGTGTAGTTCACCAGTTCCATCGAATGCTTCTACCCTCCCCTTCCCCACAATCCATTCTTGGGCAAATTACAGAAATCACATACTTTTAAGGCAAAATTACAATCTATCCATTAAAAGTTTATAATTATAGAAATCCCTCAAACGAATACAATAATATAAGCGCTAATACATTAATTTGATGTGCGAGATACATTAATCGTTAAGTAAGATACATTACATTTTATACATGATACACTAATATGATGCACGAGATACAATAATATAAGCGCTGATACATTAATCTGATGCGCGAGATACACAAATCTGATGCGCGAAAATGAGGGATTTTGAAAATTTGTAAAACTTATAGGAGATAATGGTAATAAGTAAACTAAAAGGTGGAATTTCTGTAATTTTTCCATTCTTATTTAAGGGTCGAAAGAAAGTAAAATAATTTTACATGTCCCCACTTTTTTGGTGAATTCAGGGTAAACATATTATTAACCTGACATCAATTCCAGGTTCAAAATCATATTGATCCATTTACAAACAATTACTACTAAAATTTAATTGAGAGAATTGAAGAAAAAAAAATATAGGACTACTGTATGTGTGTTAGCTTAAAAACTAGTACTAGTAAATCTTACTAATCTCTACATTTTTGTGTCGTGATGTCTTGAGATCGTGAGTAATTACATGAGTGAGTTCTCACCTACTGAGTAAAAAACCTCTCCCACTGGTATCTTGAAAAGCTGCAGTTAAATCTGAGGCCACATTAGTAATTTCATGTCATCATGTTATATGCAGAGAAGGCGCAGGAATTTAATAAGGTGTCATCTCGATATCAGTATTCTCATCTGAATCAGGTTCATCTCGAGGAAGAAGGACAAGTAGGGGTAAAGGCAGTAGGGAGCTGAGATTGCAGATAATTATTAGGAGAGCCAAGTTATCAAATTTGTCCTTGGTGACACCAAGGATGTGAGTTAGACCTGCACCAAGTAGACCCCCAAGGGTACCTCCCCCATTGGCTATGGACATAAGGGTTGCAAAGAAAGTAGCCTCCATTCCCAGTGGACATATTCTTGCAGCTAATACAAGAACAGGCATAAAGAAAGCCTGAAAAAAAGTATAAGTTAAGACAATCCAGGTAAAGGGTACCATTATCCTCTAGTCTCATAAGAATCAAAACCTACTGATCAATCTAATCTGATTTCCTCAACAAAATTTAGAGATTCCGTCTTTTTCTGCCTTTGTAGAACTCAAGAATTACTTCCCGAAAGTTGGCATTACAGTAAAAAGGGTAAATTTCTTAGGACAACCATGAGGTGATCTTACAAAGTTGGAACTTTTAGCTAACATTTCAAGTACCAACAAAGTGATATAGGTGTATCCTTCAACATTTAACTAACAGTCCCTAACCTATGTAGCCTGCCTCTTAATTAAGGTAAGACTATTAATCAATTTAGACAACACTTTGAATCTAGACTAGATTCTTAATTAATGCAAGAGTCCAAATAAAAGATAATGAAAGTATGAAAAAGAAAATAGCTATAAGAGGTTAACTAAAAATAGCTAAAAACAAAAAAAAGAAAGGCCAGAACATAAATACTTATCTGCACCGGGTGTTTACACCAAACCAATACAAGTTACCATGGCTAAGTGATTTAACGAAGTGAAACTATATATTAATGAATCATGGCTAAGTGATAATTGTATATATTCAAACACATGTGCATCCACTGGTATAATGTAAACACCTGGTACAAGTAATTTCTTCACCTAGAATTGATAGTGTCACAACACACCTGGATCTAAAGCGATGGCTACTTCCCTACATCTTTATGAGCAACACTATTTTATTTTATTTTTATGATTGTGGTGTCCGGGCCAGCTTTTGGGCACCTCAACTAATTACACGGGATACGTGCTACCTCCCACTAGCAACAGGTACCAAGTAACTCTATCCACCAAGGCTAGGACAGATGGGAAGAATCACCTAGTGTTTTCTGTCCCCGCTGGGGATTGACCCTGAGACTTATGTGCAACACTATTATTAATAAGATAACTAGTTTTTCAGCCCAGTATTGTAGTTCTTAACTAGAATCTATTGCTGATTCCAGTCCTACAGTTCTTAACTGGAATCTGTTGCTGAGAAGAATTCTCGCTATCCTATAGACATGCGAAATTCCAAACTGCTTTACAGTCTACTACTTTGGTCTTTTAATAAATAGAAGAAGAGTTCCTTCACAGTCTTACTTTTTATCAGCCAAATACCCTCTTTAGTTAATTGTAATGAGTTTCTTTCCAGTTCCATGTTGACTGTTATGAGCCTGTCAATTGCTATATATTCTTTCAATGCACTTCTTTTTTTTAAGTGATTAACTGCAAATATTTGGATTACAAAGTGAGTTCAAAATTCAGAATGTTCTTTCTATGTCTATTAAGGGAATCACAGAACTAGAGATTGTTAATCGATCTGAGAAGCAATCCAAAGCTAGGCCAGTAAAAGACAGAACCAAGACAGAGGATTACCTGACCAAGAACAGATAGAATCAAGGAATCCCCAATTGAAAACCACTCATCACTAATGCCAAACTTCCGGTTTAATCCGGTTACCAGCAGAACCTATCAACACGTCGATTACACATAAGTCAATCTAAATTGTCAGAAAGGGCCAACAGGCAAGACACAATAAAACAGATGATATTCTGGGACAGATACCTGTGTCATCCCAAGAACTGAACCAATAATAGTTGTCACAAGGAATATTTTCCTTAAAGGAACTTTCTTTAAGAAACCATTGTAAAGCGCAACACCAATAAGTGATGCAACGGAAGTAACAAGCTTAAGGCGGCCTAAGAATTCTGGAGTGAAACCAAGTTTGTTGGTTCTACAATCAAGAAACTTCAGTTAAAAAACTTGCATCTTGCATTTAATAATAATCTGAACAAGAGACTTGAAATGAGCATACATGAAGAAAAATGTAGCAGAACCTGACTGCGGTGTTGCCTGAAATAGGAAAATAAATAGTGTGGGAAGAAAAACATTAGGCTGCTTAACAGCTCCCCATAACTGGATAATGCTATTTTTTGAACTCTCAAAGAAGTCATTTCCTAAAGAGAGACTCCTTGCTGTGCCATGTACAGGCTCCTCTTTCACAAGTAAAGATACTGCAGATGTTATCAGTGGAAGTAATGCTGTTGCACCAAAAACAGACCTGGAGGAACCAATGCATAATTAATTGACCGAACATTAACATTGCTCAGATTAACATGGGCTACAATATCTCAACAGACTGAAACAATATCATACCTCACACCATAAACTTGCACAAGGGATCCACTAAAGTAAGAACTGACAATTCCACCACATGCTGAAGAACCCCAGCAAAGTGACTGAAGAGATCCTGACATGCTTTGGGACTCACCACGTGCCCTCTCAACGACCATGGAATCTACAACCTACATCATACCTCAATTTTATATCCTGGATAAATAGGAGAACAAAAGAAGATACCACCTGGAAAACAACTAGAGGAACACTACAAACAAAACAAAAGATAAAATTCATACCATTTGAGCAGCAAATTTTTTCTCTCCCCTCCCCACCCACCCCAAGTACGTTATATTGCCAAGATTTCAACACAAACATGAATGATGATTAAGGAGCTGGGTCTCTGGCAATGAGTAGCGCCATAGACTATGACACCAATTAACCCCCAGTTACTGATATATAACTCAGAAAGATCAAATAGTTTATCCACCTTATATACTTCCATATCTTGCATTGAGAATTCATGGTGGTGAGTTATTCCATTTCAATATGATAAAAGCTCACACTAATTATGCATTTTCTTCTAGAATAAAAGAAGCGGCAGCATCATAACCTTCTATATTATTGTGGTTATGATGTAAATACCCATCATTCAACAATGAAGAATTACCATGTTTCTCAGAGGAAGAAGTTCCTGTTAACAGATGCCAATAACATTTCAGCAACAAAAATCACATAATTTTAAGAGATCCAAATTTTGATTGATTCATCAATAGTCCACAGAAAGTTAGCATTAAAAGTGGAACAGACAACATGTCAGGGTTGGAGAAGTCATTTCATACAAATAGTGAGTTCTGTCTAACAAGGTTAACCTTAACGAAGCAAATTATAGGTTCGGAAACCATGATCAGGTCATTTGCCTACTCAAATTAGCGACAACCCAAATATAAAGGGATGACGCATGTTAATATGATCATTCTCGTTCATACTTCTTCTGAGTGTAAATGATAACAGCCCACAGATAGAGAGATACAACCTGTGAAGCACATGCTGCTTCATACACGTCATTTAGATAGTAGTGTATGTTCCTTGTACAAGTTGGACAAAACAATCCGCCTAAACCATGTTAAATATACCATTGGAGTTAAACATGTTCTTTTTGTAGAAATCACTGGTTAAAGATGTGATTTTGACTATTCTTATACATAATTTCTGGTTGTATTAGTTTTATACAATTTTTGGACTTTCAATGATGTTAAAGACGTAAGCAAATAAAAGATTATTCTCACTGACAAATTAAGCTTTTAGAACATGGTCACACAACACAATATGTTACTGAAGCATGCAGAGATTCCGAGTTCAAGTCTCACTACCACCCTTCATTAAAAAGATTTCACATGTTTGAGCCCCCAAGGCCTAGCTCGAGTGGCAAAGGGTGGAGGATTTGTGGCTTAGGTCGCAGGTTCAAGCCCCACAACATGCAAAGCGAAGCCCGGTATTTAAGTGGAGAAGGGTAGAGGGTCGGGCCCATTATCCACCGAATTTAGAAGTTGTGATTGGTCCAAAGGGTGGGTCACAGACGGATTTCTCGAATAAAAAAAAAAGATTTCACACATTTGACCCATGATTAAAAAAAATCTGAACCACATGTGAAAGGCATATTGAAGTCATACATGAGTAAATAAAAGTCGGCCCTCTCTAATAGTCAAAGCTTTTAATGAGGTGGTCATATAATTGAATAACTGAGTTTTTAAAAACTTATCATATTTAACTTTTTATATCGACACAGCTGTTTGCTAGACTTTAACTTCAGATAATGTCTCAGAGTCTCAGACCTTATCTCTGGCCCCTTTTTCCAAGGATCCATCTAACTGGTTTCCTTCAAAATTTCAAAAGGCTTTTGCAGTTGCTTCAATCCAAGTCAAGCTAAGGTGTAACTAGCAAGAACTTGTCAGTATAATGCATTGGAATAGATGCAGGATAAAGAGAATTAATTTTATGGGATGGAGCTGTTAATAAGCTGGTTTTCAGTTCACAATCTCTTAGCGCGTCCACCAATTCTGAAGGTCCAAATCCCAAAAAGATTGTTGTCAACCTCTTGATAAAGTCAAAAACGGTTTAGATAAATGATGTAGCACACAGGCTAGCATTATTGTGACTAGGTAACAAACCTAACACCACTAGTCAAATACCTGAAACCAACAAGAATCAAAAGGAACTTACAACATCTGAGAAAGCAACAGAAAGAGAACCAATAAGTATGCAGAAAGCAGCACCATACTTGCTGTCTACAAAGGTGGCCATCAAAAACCATGAGAGTGCTCCAAGAAGTCCAGATAGTACCAAATATGACCTTCTCCGGTATCCAAAGAGTGGGAAGGAATCACTATAAAAGCAAAGCCAATGTCATGACAAATTAGTTACTACAAACAATTAGTTAGAAGAATAAGGATGAAATGTGAACTGAATCCAACCTGATGAATCCATATAACGGCTTTATAAGCCATGGCAATGATGAGAAACCAGATATCACAGCTGTCTAGTTAGCCACAAATAATGTGTCAGTCATTGTACTCAAATCCAAAGAAGAGGATGCCACTGACAGAAAATAAAAATGGCACTGTGTCAAACAGTTTCCATTTTAAAATGCCCTTTATCAACTGAAGACAGAAATGCTGAGGCAAAGATTGGTAAAACGGAAATATCATACTCAAAATCTTTACAGAAAACTATGAAACAATTTCAGAAAATGATATGCTTAGTTTCATGATTTCAGGCCCTAGATGAGGAGGATGAATACAATGCCCACAGGTTGATTCATATTGTCCAATCAACTCAATTTATTGATCTGAGAAGAAATATATAAGAAAATGTTAAATGACCATAAGTATAGTATACCACTGGTAAAATCACCTCATACAACACTTCTAAAGAAGAGGAGGATAGTGTGTATACATAAACATAAATGCATAAGTACATTTACATTTATATAACTTTCTGTGATGAATGATGATGTAACAGGCAAAAAGGAGACAAAAACTAGTATAGAAATAGTTCCTGAAGTTCATTACTGAAATCTAGATGTAGAAAAATACAACAACAAAAACTATACCTTAACCCAAGCTAGTTACATAATGAGAGACATGACGGCAAAGGAGGAGAATACACAAACTTATGAGATGAACCATTGGTAACTGGAGATTTTCATTAAAATAAACTTGTAGTTCAAGCAACTGACTCTTAATGTATCTTAGATTCAAAATCCACGTAAAACTTCAGGCCAATATAATTAGTTTGCCAACTGAAATGAGCACTTTCAGATAAAATACAAGTTTGTGGAAGTTCAATCAACAATGTAAAGAAGTGTTCCCCGAGAAGATGGCATACCTCTGCAGGGTCTAGGTGTAGGTCATCTTTCAAATAATAGCTAACAGCAAGATCTGAAAGGCCTAAGACACCTTGAACAAAATATACCATAGCAACTGCAATGTTATCTGGGGTTAGTTCCACCCCGAAGCATCTGCCTGAGCTAATAGAATTTTTGTCCTTGTGAGAACCACTCTTATCAGATGAACTAGAATCTTCATTGCTAGTGGTTGTCAGGAGATCCTCATTTCCTGCAGATTGATCAGACAGGGAAATTTCATAAATAATCAAACTTATGTCAACTTCTGTGAACCTGGATGACCCCTTATCCTCTTACATGCCAATATGCTGATACCTGTGCATCATAGTGGAAAATTGTAGGCCACAGGAATGTGGTGTAGGCGTGTAGCTAATATCAAGAACCTTTTAACCAGAATGTCTAGGTTAAGCAAAGAAAAATCTACTAAAATTACACAACAGATTGATATGTTTTACTTCAATGAGTATCTGCACTTCCGTCTTAAGAGCACACATGGGTTTAAGACAGTTGAACATTTTGAAGTATCAATCCCAAACATACACAAATACTCTAACCATGCTGCAGATAAAAAAAACGGGGTATTTAAGTGGAGAAGGGTAGAGAGATGGGTCTGGGTGGACCCATAATCCACCGAGTTTCAAAGAGTGCGCCACATTGGTCCTTCGGGATTTCTTGGTTATCGAAAATAACAAATAAAAATTTAATCCCATTCTGTGAAAGTGGGATATCCGATCAATCAATCAACTAAGCCTTGATCCGAACTAGTTGTAATCCTCCATATCCATTTCCCCTCCAATTGTGAGCACTATGAAAGAGTTATGCTTGCTCTTCCACGTGTCACTCTGCACCTTTAAGGCAGAGCTTTCCTCTGCTTCGTAAAGATTCTCATGTGTCTCCTTAGTTTGATATGTTTAAAGCACCATAGAGAATCTTCTAGAAGTTTTTAACATGCGAGGGAGTAGGGACTTAATTCTATATTACATGCACAAAATGCTATGCAGACAATTGAATTTGAATGAATAATTTCTTCCTTGTATACTACACACGAACAAAGTTGTTACGCAGACAATTCAATTTGAATGAATAATATGTTACAACTACTTGAGCTGCAGTTAATGCTTAGCATTTTCCGCGTCTGAAAATGGCAGTGATCAGTTTTCCATCAATTCCTATAGCATGAATAATATGGATTACGCCTTAAGCCATATTGATTTGGTACCCGTATTTTAACAAACAGATGTATGGGGGAAAAAACGCGTGTGATAAAAGGACGGGCTGGCCCGTGACACGTGATTAAGTCAGGCCCAGTGAGATGCTTACTCCAGCTTAGGAAAATTTGGATGGATCATCCCTGGTGCTGCCTCAAGACAGCCAAGGCTGCTTCATCCGGGTAGCCAACAGGACCCTTCCCGGGGAAGGATCACTTTACAGTTGGAACACACTCATAATGATCCTTAGATAGACCAACAATCATTCTAGAGTCTCACGCCAACCTACGTCCAATCAGCCTCGAGCCCAACGTCATAGTCCAGGCATGTGCCACTAAATAGAATTTTCAGTGCTTAGCGAGTAGTCATTTCACATTGAAAAGGCTGATCGACTCTTTCGGCCTATAAAAGATCCCTCCCTCTCAAAGCAGGAGAGGGCATTCCGAAAATCACATAAATAACCAAGAAAACCTTTTTATCTTCTCTTCTGAGCTCTTCCATGGAAAAAAACTCTCAACCTTCTTCTTGCTTGTATTTTCCTATTCCTTTGAGAAATATCAATTCTTGTATTCATTTCCTCCCTCGGAGATTTGGCCGAAAGAAGATGAACATAATCCACCTTAATCCACTTGCCTTTAACCCCTTTTTACAAATTTAACATTTAACCAAAAAGACATTTCCTCCAGTACACAACATACAATCTCATTTGCCAGTTATCAAACTTGCAATCATAACACTGAACAGCCATATACTTGAAAATTGGAATTTGTAACCGTAATTTTATTTCCTTTCCTAGAAAATGAGCTAATAAAATACAATAATTTTACTTTTCTTTTTCAATATCTACCTACTGTAAGATAACTTAGCAGAATTAACCGCTTATATTGCGTAATACAAACATATCGTTAATTATGTGTGTGTAACTTACGATTTGTAGAATAAAGCAACGGTTCAGCATCGTTGTCTTGTTGGACTGGGTCTTCCGGCACTGCAACGGTGACTGCCATTTTGATGTCAGGTGGAGATGACGATGGAATGCCGTTTTCCGGCGAATCGGAGCGAGGATTGGAGAGAGGAAGAACAAGGCCAAACTTGGATTTGTGAAGGGTAAGATTGAGAATGTCAACGTACCCATTTTAAAACTATTTTTTTCTGTTCGTAGTTTGTGTTTAAAATGACTTGGAGAGGTTGATGTACTTTTTATGCTCACTTTTACTTATCATCTTTGACTTTTTTATTAATATTTTCAAATACATTTTTATCATATGAATACTTTATAGTATTTTTCGTTTATTTTTAATTATTATTTTATATTTTATGACATTTTTAATTCGGTTTGAAGTTTCACAATTATAATTTTTTTGATTCCCATCTTTAGAAAAAAAAATCTTAAGAATAAATATGCTGAAAATCACATGTAACTCGTAAACAATGGATCTTGAGAAGCAGTTAGCATTAGCCATCATCGTGCAAAGGATCAAAATCATCCTTTATGTTTGAGTTAAGAATCAAAGTAGTTCTTGTCTTTTAACATGAAGCACTAATATTTCTCCATCTTTCAAAAATTGGTACACTTTTAGTATTCTTCCAAACATCTATCTATTTTTTAACAGAGCCTTTCTTTGCACGTGAGAAAATATAAACATGATAAAAAATTTTCACCATTGCAAATCAAATTTTACCGTCTTCTTCGATAACTCTGTTTTCACTTGGTGAAAATCAGATTCTCCCCTTCTTCTATGTAGTATCCATCCCTAATTCCATAACTTTAACTTTGATTTTCCTATTATACAAACAAAAATAAAAAATTGAAGGAAATTCCTTCCGAGAATCACTATAAATATACATATAGTTTTTTTATTATTTATAAAGACAAGTGAGGGGAGAGTATTGTTCTACAAAAACTCATCCTACATACTTTGTAATCAACTCTAGTTGTATGTTCTTTCGTAATTGTACTCATCGTAGGATTTCTTTTTCGAATCTTGCCGACGCAAACAAGTCTTTTCATTCTAGGTTGTCACTCTCGTTTTTCTTGTACTTCTCTTTTGTCTTCTTCTCTATTATATATACAATATAAGTTGATCCATTTTTCTATTAATCTTTCTATCAAATTTTTGTTTCACATGTACAGAATACATGAATTCGAAAAAGCAATAACAATGATCAAAAAACTAATCTCACCATAAGTAGGAGTTGATTCTCTGTCATTGTTGTGCCTTAACAATATAGTTGCTTCCAAGAATCGACTAAGCTTTTAATGGAATTCAGAATGAATTTTTGGCTATGAGGTTTGATTGAAGAAGAAAGGGAAGAGAAAATAGAAGTGATTTGATAAAGGAATTTGGAGGGACAAGAAAAACTTTCTCCGGTGCAAAAAAAAGTCCCGTTAAAAAATCAAACGGAAGTTTGTAAGAATACTAAAAATGTATCAATTCTTGAAACATGAAGAACTATTAGTGCTCCATGTTAAAAGATAGGGATTACTTTGATTCTTAACTCAAACATAAAGGACGATTTTGATCCTTTACTTGCCATCATCATTGGATTGTTATATACTCCCTCCGTTCACGTGAAGAAATTTGATGTATATATTTCTTGAAAAGTGAACGAAGGGAGTATAAATTTCTTTTGTGTCGAAAAGAAATGGAATACCATAGTATCTATATAAGGAACTAAAATTCTTACTAGGTTACCTTATTTAGATGTTATCTAATTTTTAAATATTATATATGTCTATTTATTTCACAACAACTTTCTTTCTTGCTTAAATAGAAATAACCGAAATTCAAGCAAAATTAAAATAAACTTATATCATATGAAATTTTAAATATAACGTTGTTTCAAAGTAGGTAAACTTATAAATTTTTACATACCACTTGAACTTATAAAGGAGTTTTGATATCTTTATTAAAAAAGAGTAGTTGAAGTAGAGGTTAGAAAAAGTTTTTTCAGAAGTTAATAAAATAATTTATGAAACTTCACCATTAATAAATGTGGTGCAGAGAATAGAATTGTTCTTTTTTTAATTAAAGATCTTGAATTTGAGCTTTGAGTATGAAAAAATCATAGACATCAAACATTTAATCAGCAATGATCATAGACATCACATCTGAAAAATTATTTATTGTTCATCCAGTAATATTAATGTTACAATATTGGAAGCCCCTCAAAATCGATCCAACTAGTTCCTTAAAAACTGGTACCTGTAAATATTAATAATCCCTACAATTTTTGTGTCAAGTGATGTCTTGAGATTGTAACTAACTACATGAGTGAATCTCTCCAACTGTTATCTCGAAAAGCTGCAGTGAAAACTGAAAACGATCAACCATGTCTGAGGCCACATTAGAAATTTCATGCCGTCATGCAGAGGCGTATCTAGAGGGGGTTCTGTGGGTTCACGTGAACCCATGCTGTCCTTTATAGATCATATATAGTAGTGTTATATTTTTCAAAAAATATTTAAATATAGAGGTGGTGTGAACCCACGTTAAATGTAGCATATAATAATACGATGATTATTGGGTGCACGTCTCTAAACAAATATAGAAAATTTTAATCTTATATCTATCTTATTTTTTTAGTAACACTCTTCCAAGTGGTTATTGGTAACACTTCGGCATTTCAATCATCTTTTCTTTAGTTTTTTGCTTTAATCTTTCAAAATTTTCAAGTGTGTTACATTGAAAATAATTCCTAAAAAGAAAAATAGCACTGCAATTTTTTTAATAATTAAATCAAAAGTGTATATTAAAATTTAAAACTAGTAGTATTACATATGTTGGACCTATAATTTATAAAATTTAACAGAGTGTTAAGAACGTCAAGGTCAAATCAATTAAATTTATGTCTTAGATGCATTTTTTTGTAGTAGACTAGTAGTGAACCCATCCTTCTGAAATCCTAGATACGCCTCTGCCATCATGTTATATGCAGAAAGGCAGGAATTTAATAAGGCGTCATCTCAATATCGGTATTCTCGTCTGAATCAGGTTCATCTCGAGGAAGAAGGCCAAGTAGTGGTAAAGGCAGCAGGGTGCTGAGATTGCAGATAATTATTAGGAGAGCCAAGTTGTCAAATTTGTCTTTGGTGACACCAAAGATGTGAGTTAGACCTGCACCAAGTAGTCCCCCAAGGATACTTCCCCCATTGGCTATGGACATAAGGGTTGCAAAGAAAGTTGCCTCCATTCCCAGTGGGCATATTCTTGCAGCTAATACAAGAGCAGGCATGAAGAAAGCCTGAAAAAAGTATAAAGTCAGACAATCCTGAAAAAGTAGCCAGAATACCACTCTCAAAAGAATCAAAACCTACTGATCAATCTGATTTCCTCAACTAAATTTAGAGCTTCCCTCTCTTTTTCTTCCTTGGTAGAGCTTTAGAATTACTTCCCAAAAGTTGGCATAACAGTAAAAATGGGTAAATTTCATAGGACAGCCATCTCGTGACCTTAAGGATCTTCCAAAGTTATAACTTTCTGGTAACATTTCAAGCACTAACAAGTGTGCATAGGTGTATGTGTATCCTTCAACATTTAACTAACAGTCTACCTAACTAAATACTTATCTGCACCGAGTGTTTACACCAAACCAATTCAAGTTATCATGGTTATTAAGTGAGTCAACAAAGTGAAAATATATATTACCATTGTTAAATGACAATCGTATATATTCAAACACATATTATGCATCCATTGGTACGGTGTAAACATCTGGTACAAGTAAGTTTTCAACTAGAACTGATTGTGACACAAAACACATGGATCAAAAAGTAATGGCTACTTCCCTAGGTCTTTCTGTGCAACATTATTATTCCTAAGTTATAGTTTTTCAGCTCAATATTATAGTTCTTAACTGGAATCTATTGCTGGATTCCAGTCCTATAGTTTGTAACTGAAATCTATTGCTGAGTAGAGTCTCACAATCTACAGACATGAAAAACTCCAAAACTGCTTTACAGTCACCTACTTTGATCTTCCCATAAATAGAAGAACAGTTCCATCACAATCTTACTTTTTGTCAGCCAAATACCCTCTTTAGTTAATTGTAATGACTTTCTTTTCAGTTCCATGATTCCTAGTCCTATCAAGTGCTATATGTTCTTTCAATGCACTTCTTTTTTCAGTGATTAGCTGCAGAAATTTGGATTACAAAGTGAGTTCCATATTCAGAATGTTCTTTCTGTGTATATTTAAGGGAAATCACAGAACTAGAGATTGGTAATCGGTCTGAGAAGCAATCCAAAGCTAGGCCAGTAAAAGACAGAAGATTACCTGACCAAGAACAGATAGGATCAAGGAATCCCCAATAGCAAACCACTCATCACTAATGCCAAACTTCCGGTTCAATCCGGTTACTAGCAAAACCTATCAACACGTCGATTACACATAAGCCAATCTAAACCGCCAGAAAGGGCCAAAAGGCAAGACACAGTAAAACAGAAGATATTTTGGGACAGATACCTGTGTCATCCCAAGAGCTGAACCAATAATAGTTGTCACAAGGAATATTTTCCTTAAAGGAACTTTCTTTAAGAAACCATTGTAAAGCGCAACACCAATAAGTGATGCAACTGAAGTAACAACATTAAGGCGGCCTAAGAATTCTGGAGTGAAACCAAGTTTATTGGTTCTACAATCAAGAAATTTCAGTTAAAAAACTTGCATCTTGCATTTAATAATAATCTGAACAAGAGACTTGAAGTTGAGCATACATGAAGAAAAACGTAGCAGAACCTGACTGTGGTGTTGCCTGAAATAGGAAAATAAATAGTGTGGGAAGAAAAACATTAGGCTGTTTAACAGCTCCCCATAACTGGATAATGCTACTTTTAGAACTCTCAAAGAAGTCATTGCCTAAAGAGAGACCCCTTGCTGGGCCATGTACAGGCTCCTCTTTCACAAGTAAAGATACTACAGATGTTATCAGTGGAAGTAATGCTGTTACACCAAAGACGGACCTGGAGGAACCAAAACATAATTAACTGACTGAACCAAAACACAGGCTACAATTCTCAACAGACTGAAAAAATATCATACCTCACACCATAAACTTCCACAAG